ATTAAGAATTAGTGGGTTTGCTCATTGCGGAGCAGTTGTCTCATTCCAGCGGTGAGCTCCAGACGGTCTACCTGCAGCATCCGTGAGTGGAACAAAGCCGGTTCTATAATTAGGTTCTCCTGGCTGATGTGATTAGAGCAGCCGCTGCATTCATTTTGCTATAGATGCTCCTCAGCTGCTTGGGGGGACTAATGGAGGAGATGGAGAGATATATGGGAACCAATTAGACATGACATTATAATGCGACGCATGTGTTTTTCTTGTGCACATTTGTACTCATGCATAAAAATCCTTTATGTGTGTGGTGATAAGTAAAAAGAAAATCTTTTTTATAAAATGTTATTTTACATTAATAGACTGCACACATGCTATTACGTATCTCCTCAAATCTGCGTCACCTCTTCTTCCCCTTTCCATCCTTTGACATCGTCCTGTGTTTCAATTAGCTGCCTTGTAATTAAATTACAGGGGACATTACTTAAGAGGGACATAAATAGTAGTCCACCGATGTGATGTGGTGCCTAAGTCTCAGATGAGATATGACCTGTCTTGTGTCACATTACCTGGAAGAAACCATGTCCCATACTCTACTTAATGTTTAAGCCACACATTTTACTTATTCTGGATTCACAGTAAGAAAGAGTAAAGCTTCCCTCCACTCAAAAATGTGCTTTGCATGTCATATGTTTGACCTTCACTGTGCAAAAAGATGCACCTTTTGTAGAAAAACTATTCAAAAATCAGTATTTTTATATGTTATGTCTCATTTTATTGGTAAACAAGAGGAAATATCAGGGCAGCTTTCTAGTCTGCATCTCACTGTTTGGACGAAGTGAGATTCTGGAGCCTCAGTCACATGAAAGCACTGAAAATCTGAGCATTGTCATTAAAATGAGACCTACACAGTAAATTTTGAGTTGACCTTGGAAATTGTCATCGCTGACACAATTCTTGTCAAATGGGGCAAGTTTGTGTTAAACTTTTATAAAGTTGGTTAACTTGTAAAAGAGTTTAAATTAAAATCAAAAATCCTCTTTTACTGAGTCATTCTCCAAAAAAGTGTGGTCCTAAAATTCCTTTTATACAATTCAGTGATGCTTTTTGTTAAGCTGCTTCTTCCAATTTCTATTATAGAGTTTGTGGTAAGTTTGTGGTAAAACAAACAACCACAACAACAAAAAGAACAGGTTGTGAGCTCAAATGTTAGACGAACTTGGGTTATTTTGTTATACACTGAATGACAAGGCTTATGAGTACTACTCATTATCACTCATTCCTGGAGTATTTGCACCTTTAAATGAACCTTCAGCTTCAGGATTTGCTCACTTGCTTCACCACGATGGTGTTGAAAATCTGCCTTGTCATGACATATTGGCCTTAAAAAGAAACTAAATGTTACATGTTTGTAATGAATATGATGTTAACTTATGCTAATCTTTAGAAGCTTTTACAAATAAACCAAATAAAAAAAAACTCACAAATCACATTTTCAGCAAACACTGATACCTGGACAGTCACCTTGCCTTGAGTCTTCTCTCCAAAGTTATGCCCGACTCCAGCACATTAGATGTTTATCTGAATGCACCGTCTGCTCTCGGTAATCTCATCACCTCGCGTCCATATTGAGGGAAAGTCAGACCTTGTTTCCCAGAATTCCCTTTTATCTCTTAAGGTCGGTCTGGGAAAATAAGTCCAGATAGGAATTAGAAAAGACAGAAGAAACAGATAAAATGTAATGAAGGCCAAAACATAAACAAAAAACAAAATTTGGGTTTCATGGATAACAGAGAAGACTTAAAGTGAGATCTGAAAAACTATGAAAGCTGTCATTACTGATTACTGATCAGAGTAAGCAGTGATGTAACTGAACCTGTTCTAAAAGAAAAAAAATTCTATTGCATATCAACTAAATTTGATGCAAAAGAAATGAAACATAACAAACAAAATGGCCATTTTAGTCACAGTAATACTGAGCAGCAACCTTCAAAAGAAGGTGGCAAGGGTGGGTTAAAGTCTGCTGGCTTTCTTTTGGGATCTAATTATATACTTCTACCAAAATGAAAGTCAGAGAATATTTTAGTTGGTAATTGTCACAAATTCAAGATAAAAAAAAAAAAATCTGTTCAAGGCATCAATGACACCTGCAAAGACGCAATAGGACGTTCTAAGTATATCCAGTGATTATAAATGACTGAATGTGTTTTGGTTTGCATCCAATTGCTATCTAGAAAAAAAACCCATCCCCCAATGATCTCCTCTCCTCTCATAAAGGCCTCAAATAAATGGATTGACTTTTGGACAAGCATCAGTTTTCTTTCATAATTGTTAATTATCATGAGTGCTCTCTGAGGTACTTTCTATGAATGGAGATGGCACTCTCTCCCTATTTCCCCACCCTCTGTTCTTTTTACGGGATTGGTCGTAGTTCTCAAGGGCATCAAAAAGGACGTTGGCGATGGAGGAGGGAGGTGCAGTAGATGGGTGGGGCACTTGCGTCATTCCTGCGCATCAGAGGGCGGGTGGGTTTTATGGCAACGGCCGGCGCCAGTAAGCTATGCGTCCTCCTAACCTCCTCCCCCTCCGCCTAAAGTCGGTCTTTCCTTGCCTGACCAGCAGCAACCTCACCCTCCCACCCACCCCATCGTGGCTCCTCCCCAAGTCCCAGACAAGAGAGAGTACAGCACTTAAAGTAATGTAAATAACCAGAGAGGAGAGCTATTTTAAGATGCTGTCTTTCACTGTGGACAAGGAGGGGGACAAAGATGCAAGCCAAGCGATTGTAATTTCAGTCACGTTTTCCGACATGTTCTCTTTTCTCGGTCTACCGTCCAGTTTAGCCGAAGGGTCTGAAGAGACAAGAAAGACCAGCAAATTCCCTGTGAGCTTTTTTCTGAAGAAAAAAAGAAGCACATATTATAAAATAACAGCCAGCTAAAGGTCTTAAAAACTGAGACTGAGATACCTCCTCCTCTGAGTTATATAAAATATGTAAAAGAAAACATGAAAAATATTTAAATAAGCCCAGAAATTTATCGAGAACAGATCTTTCAGGACGGTTGTAAGATAAATATGGGAAGGACAAAATATTTAACAGGAAAGCTGAAATCAAAATATTTCTGCAAAACAAAATTCTTACATCTTATGTCTTAGGTTTTTTCTTTTTGGTAATCCTTGTTCTTTACTTTTGTAAAATACTAGTAAATTTAATACTGCAGACCTAAAATTATAAACATACAACAATGAACAGTGAATCATTACTTTTTTGTTAAATCTCTGCAGCATGAAAAGGAATCCCAAGGTCTTTTTTTCAAAGATATTATACGCCATAAAGGTCGGAAGCCATGAAACCCACACAGATCACAATGCTCTTCACGTTTCGACATCACAAGCAAACAAAGGAAAACCCACAATTCAGAAAACTCGCATTTGAAATACCAACAACAATTTTAACAAGACTCGGAAATGAAGTGAAATACCAATTTTGTCTTCGTAGGATTGTATGATTTATATATATATATATTTCCTGATTTTCTTTTTTATTGTTTAATGTTTTTATGACATCAAAAATAAATAAACATTTAGACAGCATCCTTTCCATCTTATGTGAATAATTTCAACCAGCAATATTTGTTATCTACATATCTTTTTCACCCTCATATGTATACAAACATACACATCACAGAGAAAATAATCTGCACACTGCTGCCAACAAACAGCTGATTTTAGAAATCAGAACCTGCCGTCGCCGCTTTGTTCTGCAACAGTTAGTTTGACTTTGCAAATCATCAACAAAAGCTTAAAAGTACACTATTAGATATAACGAGATCTTTTTGTCGAGGTTACATTCATGTTCAAGTCTTTGTTCACTTCAGTCTGACCAGCATCTGATCAAAACCATGGAAATGAAAGTATCTCTTTTCATGAGCTTCATTAAGGCAGTTGAATACAAGATAATTTTAAACACTAACTCACATTGATTCTTATGCTTAAAACTGCATCTACACCTGTCGTTAAAGAGAATACTAGCTAATGCTTCGAGTCGGCTACCATCGCTACTGCTCATATATTTTCTACTCAGCATGATGCATGAATTGTGTCTTTCTTCATTCACAGTCAATATATGTATATCAGTGATAATCAGTAATAACATGAGAGACATGATTTCCTGTCTTAATTTGATACGACAAATAATTAAGAAAACAAATCCCAGTTGTTTCGGTGAATTAGGATGCACATCGCATAAGGAACCTGGCTTGATGTGACAAGTTAAAGCTACAAAATACAATGTTTTCCATTCTTTCCTTTTGTTTGTCTATTGTATTTCCACTCTCACAAATAATTCCATCATAATAAGAGGTGGTAAACTGTGTGTTATTATGTGTTATTGCTTTTTATTTAATTGGTACATACAGTCTGCTCTCTGTCTAAACAATGGTTGTGCTGTCAGTCACTTCTTATAAACTACTGCTTTATTATTTGTCATATTTCTGACTGAATATTTCACCACTTCCTCTCAGTATACATGCCCACATCTTATATTTCAGCTCATCTGGTATATTAGAGTTTTTTTTAAAAATTAATTAGTGATGAAGAATTAAATTAATCACATAAATAGTCTATCAACTTTTTTTTTTTTTTTTAAGTACATCCCCAAATCATTCGAAGAAAAAAAAAAAAGCTGAATATACAGTACAACCAACTATCTGTGAGGGCTGTGTGTGTGTGTGTGTGTGTGTGTGTGTGTGTGTGTGTGTGTGTGTGTTTACTTTACTTCACAGAAAGACAGCTTCATGTCTGGACAATCAGCAAGCTGCTACACTATATATCCTGACATGTGGCTGTTGTCCAGTCTAGCGGGATGTTGAACTTTGTAGTCCCAAGGGAGGATGTTTGCTTGCAGTCTCCTGGTTCGTTGGCAGTTCTATGGCAGTTCAGTCACGTTGCTGAGTTTATTTTATGCTATTTTTTTTTTTTTTTTTTCAAATCACATCCTGACTTTGTCATTCCTCATCATGGTGGGAGGAGTCGGGGCTGGACTCCTCCTCCTCCTCCACCGTTTCCGTCGGCAGCGTGTCGCGGCGCGTGAAGGCGGCCGCCAAGGTCACGCTCAGCCGCGGTTTGACGGGCGCCATCTCCGACAGCCCGATGTTGTTGCCACGAGTTACAAGTGTTGTCTTATCCATAATCTCTCCACTGTGCTTGGACACCACCGCGTCGAGAAAGTCGTACTTGTGTGAAATCTTACCGCTCTCAAACAGGTACTTTGCCAGGTATGAGACACCGACGTTGCCCAAAAAAGATGCCAGCATGGAGATGGTCTTGAAGGGGAACTTCTGGATAACAACTTCTTCCATTTGTCCAGTCATGGGGTGTAACCGCTCCTCAGTCGTCCAGCCGGGGTAATAAATGAAAGGAGGCAGCAGCAGGTAGGGTTCGCCTCCACCTATACGCAGCACCAGACCGAACAGGTACGCAGCCACTGAGCCGTATGTGTTGGTGCCTTTGACAAACAGCACGCTGAGCAGCTGGGGGAAGATGATGACGTAAACCATGTCTGAACTTAGGTACCAGAGGCCGTAAACTGTTCCAGTTACCAGCGCCATCAAGGTGGCAAGACCGCCGAACACAAAGATGGTAACACGCATCACCCACACAAGTTCGCGGTCAGATGCCTGAGCAGAAAGAGAGGAGTGAAGAAAAAATTTTAACATCTATAGAACAGCCAAAGACAAGCAACAAAGAAATAGATTCTGTGTCAACTTAAAACAGAAAAGTGTTGGTGTCTAAACAGAAACAGACACATGTACTCACTGACTGTCTGAAGGCGAGCTGGTAGATGTTCCTCGCAAACATGGAGCTTGCTGAAAGGATGGACGAGTCTGCTGATGACATTACAGCAGCAGAAACTGCACCCAGGCCAAAAAAAGAGACGAACGGAGGGCAAAGGTGTTGGAGTACGATGGGTAGAATCATGTCTGCTTGCTCCTTCTCTTTAGGAGAAGCACTACCATAACTTGTCTGGTTCCAGTCTGAGAAAGTACAAAAATAAAAATAAATCTACATTTAGAATGAAATCCAACATATCCCATACACATTTACTGCAACTGAGATAAATAAAAAAATCATTTGCAATTAAAAATTCTGAGAAATATACACTAAAACAAAATGAAAATGTAAGCCGCTGCTCAATCAGTATACTTGACTGCAACATCCATCAACTGATTTCAAAATGAAATATATTTGTATTGAAACATTGTATTTGTCCATTTAGTTTATTTGTTTGATAAACTTTTGGCTCATTATACCTGTTTTGCAAAAGGTTCTGGCTAATATGAACAATATTTCACTGACAATGGAACTAAAAACAATCAAGCTTTAAGCCTTACTAATAAATTCTCACTGTTTGCAGCTGTAAGTTTAGTGCAAAATTTCCTTTACTGATTTTAGTTTCGAAATGGCTAGCTCATATTTCAGGACAAGAGAAAACAGAGTTACATATCCATTTGTTCACTGAGGAATCTGATGCATAAAAATCTGGAGATCAAACCACTAATTTGGTCCCTTGCCTCCCTCTAATGTAATATTTACACAACCAGCGTGGTTATTAAACGGATTGCTGCTTTCATTATGGATGAGGTGAACCAGCTGCTATTTACCAGGCTCTCTCAGATCTAAGGGCAACACGGACCCATCCAGAGCCTCCACGACACATACACACACAAATGCAGCAAACACCTCCCACACAAACAAACAGACTGTGCATATGCAAACTAATGAGTCTCTAACCTGTGGAGGCCCCGATGGCCCCGATGAGAACGGAGGGCACAGCCATGATGAGGCACCCGAATGCAGCCAGAAAAGAGAGGACTTGAGCGTAGGTAGCGGAGGAGACTGACAGGACTCTCTGGAAGTACACTTGCCAGGGGATTCCTCCAAGCATCTGCAGCACAGCGAATAAGAGCAGTCAATAGCATTCTGATTCAACTTAGCCATGGGAAGTCAGTCTTGTTTTTTTTATAGCCCTAGAATCACAGATTTAGAGCATATGATGCCTTTTTAGCCTTAGACATTTTATCTGGACTGGAATAAACTCCCCAAAACCTATTTGACAGGAACAACTCCTTACAGCAAGCTACACTGGTAAAGAGCTCATCTGTACAGCAGCTGTCAGTAAGCAGATGATTAATTTTGTCCAATCAAAATAGACAACATCATTTCATTGCTGCAATGAACAATTATTATCCTGATTTATTAATCCATAGATTATTTCTGAGATGAATTGATATGTAGTTTTTGTCTACAAAATGTCAAACAACAAAGACAAATCTACACCAACAGTTAGTTAAAGCAAAGTTCTGACATTTAAAGGTCTAAACCAGCAACATTCACTTGTCTCCCTTTGTTAATGACTTAACAGATCAAATTAATTCCCAAGGAATTTTCTGACCATCAACTTCAAGATTAATAAGGTTCAAAATCAAGTTCATCAGTATGATCAGTTTCAGATATTCTGATGAAGTGTGAGATGTGACCACTCATGGTTCCCGTACCAGGAGGCAGAAGTTATCGATCCAGACCCAGGTATCGGCCTTGCTGACGCTGCCTCTCCAGGGTGACTGGTACACCTGCTTCACCGCAGTGACAGTGATGTCTGACACCGCGGGGTTGCTCAAAGCAAAGGGGACGCTGATCCACTGCAGAGAGACAAAAACCAGTACAGCAAGAAGCACAAACCAGATGTGTAGGCTTCTGTGCAATTTTGTCCATAATTCTATAAGAAATTTAAGCCAAAATAAAACTATATGCAGTATTAATTCTACTAACTGCTAGGATGTAATTTTCACTTAAGCTCAACATGAACCTACCAGGCCAACAAAGATACAAAACAGCTGCACAACATCAGTGTAGGCCACGGAGTAAAGTCCTCCAACCAGGGTGTAAAAGATTGCAACGAGTGCAGAGATAACCACTGACATCTTAATGTTGATGTCCACGATGACACTCAGAGTAGCACCTAAGGTCATGGACAGAAGAAAGGATATGACGGGCACTTCAGCATCATGAAATGAAAAACGCTTTCATGTTGTTATCCTCAAAAAGCTTTTATTTTGTATTAAGTAGAAAAATAAACTCACCGAGGGCCGATAAGATGGCAGCAGACCAGAAAATCTCACCCATGAGTGCGGGTATGAAGAGGAGGCCACCCATACGTTTCCCATACATCTGCTGAAAAGGGTCCAGCATGGTGACGTAACCTCGTGAGCGCATGGGTTTGGCAAAAAATAAACCACCTTGGAGAAAGATTGACCACATGACAGGGTAAAAAATGAAGCAACTGCCCTCCAAAGAGGACCCCTGAAGTTAATCTGAATTGACTAAATCAATTAAAACCTACCATGAAATAAAAGATGCTGATACCGGAACATAGTCTAAGTGCCCCCTTCAAAAGGGTTAACAGAGGACCACTTGTGAAGGTTGAATTAGCAACCAAACTGATCGTTTCAATCAGGCACACTGTCACGCACAAGTCAGTGTAGTAATATGCAGGTTTTGTGTTTGTCTAAATGGGTAGAGAACCATTTGGTTCATTGTGCACTGACCACAAATTCTTTCTTATGCTCATGCTGACAAATAATAGAAAAGCTACATTTAAACAGTTTTAAACTGGAGGAACATATAGCAGCACTCACCCACAACAAGACTGAGTGCATATCCAAAGGGGGCTTGAGCCCAAGCCAAGCCATAATCTGGAAGATACACATACTCAGCTGTGCCATTTATGTAGCCTCCTCCAACCCAGGTAGCTGGAAATTACACACACACACACACAGACACACACAGACACACAATTAAAGCTTAAAATCACTTTTAAACTAATTCTAAAAATTAAAAATGTAAAAACTGACTTTTTCTAAATTAATATCAATTTATAAAACATATATAAAACATTATAATACTGATGGAATTATAAAATGTCTCCATTTGCTGACTTTTCATTCACTGAATGTTAAAAGGTGAAACTGTTTTCATAAAAACACCAAACTGCTGCTGACAATCAGTTAAAGTAACTAAGATTCGAGTTTTGGTTTTTTTGTTTGTTTGTTTGTTTGTTTGTTTGTTTTTTAAAAAGTAACAAACACGAACTTCACCCGTCATGGTGAATCCACCGACAAATAATCCAATGTCTCTCCCTCCGACCATGATGGTTTCGCTGCGGTCGGTGCCCTCCGCCTCCCCGGTGTGCTTGTTCTTCCATGCCGCCCAGATGCCCACCAACAGAATCAGCACATAGAAGAGCGCGATAGCCACAAGCCCCTCTACATGGATGGTCATGGTCGCAGCGGTCCTTCGCTAGGAACGGGAAGGCATGAAGACCTGCGTGGGCGCACGGAGGAAGAGGATCAGACATACAGTGAAAAGAGCAGTAATTTGACATTCAATTACCTGCATTTGGACAACTAGACAAGTAAGTGATAGATGACAACATGTTGATCTGTTAGGTTGCTTTAAAATACATAAAAAGGACAAATATTCCTTTGTGTGTGTGTGTGTGTGTGTGTGTGTTTGGGCGGGGGGGGGGGTCTTGACCCATGTTAACTTGTTAAAACAGATCAGAATAACCCAGAAACATTTTCTTAATTGCGATCCAAAAGAGTTCCTGCGCTTTTGGAGGTATTAAACAGAGCTTCGAGGGCAAGAGTATAGCCTAGAAAGCTAATTATTCTCTAAAAATGTAATTTTACAGTTTGTGTCAGAATTTACACAGTTTAACGGATGAAAATGTACCGAAAAGAAACCTGGAAGCTCAATTTATTTTCCCCCTCCTCAATCCATCTCGGTAAAGCCCAACATTAGGTGCAACAAATGTGCTATACGTGAAAACTAATTTCTTAAATAACTAAAAAATAAACCAGGTGAATCTGTCAGAATTAGGGTTAAACAATCAAATTGATTTCCCACTCATGTGGTCATGTCTTTAGGTCCGTCCTTTTCTTTGTTCTCTCTCTGCTCGTCTCCTTCTGCAAGGATTCGTGCGCGTAAAACTCACATTACGCGCAGGATTTAATATGGAAAAATGGCAGCTAGTCCAAATTATGTGGAAGTTTTCGAGTTCAGTAATGCTCCAAAAGCAATTCAGTCCTCTAAAAATGTTGTTTTATGAATAACTTAAAATTAAAATTAAAAAAATTTAAAAATTTAAAAAAAAAAAGGAAAGGAAAGAAAAGAAAAAAGCAAAACTTACCTTAAGTATTTCTAGAGTCATGTGCTGGGGCACCTGGGAAAAACAATGCGCATAACAGCTAGATGTTTATGGAGATCCTCGTCCCTCTTTGCACAGTCAAATGAAACCTTAGTGGGGGTCTCCCGGGTGACTTACTGAGGCTTATAAGGGGGCAGGTGCCGTCAGAGGACCGGGACACGCGTCAGAGGAACCAAACGTCCCTCTTAATGAGCACCTTGCATGGAAACACGTCACAGTGTGCTGGCTGATCTGACTGCAGGGTGGGAGAGATTCCTCGACTCAGTAACGTGGACGGATGGGCATCTTCATCTTCTTCTTTTCTTTCTTTTTTTTTTTTTTAATCACTGAATTCCTGACATGAATTTTAATATAAACATTTTTACGTATGAAACAATGAATACGTGCGTAACAGCCGCCTGATTGCGTAGCCACGTTTCATCCTCTGTCACTCTCACCACATGTGGCATTCTACTGTACAATTAACTTTTCACAGTTGCGCAAAAACTGCGCAACTGTGAAGGATGAAAAACCCAACCTGATGCCCTAATAGGAGAGGATTAGGGAGAAATCGATATATTAGAAAAGGAGAGAAACGATACACTCGTCATCTTTTTCTAGGCCTAAAAAAAAAATCGCAATTATAATGCTCCCCCACCTTGAAGCAATTACAAGTCATTTAAGTGTGTCTGCCACTTCCACTTCAGGATATATATCAACGAGCTGTGTCTACTTAATGGCCTCCTCCGCCTGAAGTCCTTTAATCTGGACTCCTCTTGTCAGAACTGACAGGCATCCAATTAGGATGGATCCTGAAGAGCAGCGGAGATATTTAATGATACAGTCTGACTTAAAAAAAAAAAAAAAAAAAGTCCAAGTGGGCGTACACACACACACAAAGTATAACGACAGACATGCACAAACAGTGTAACAGACACGTTATTTTCTAAAGAGGGTTGAGGTGTTTACTTATCAAGAGAAAAGGTGACAAGTTTATTTTAGCCATTAAACGTGTTCAGCGCCCTCTTTCGGGAAAGACAGCAGAAGGGTTTCAGCACCATGGACAGAGGTTCAACAAATTAGTCTCAAGTTTGCATGTTTAATTTTTCTTTTCTACTGTTACTATATTTTTTGTTCATTATATTTTATGAATAACCATCCATCCATTATCTATACACCGCTTAATTTTCACTGGGGGGGGCGCCTATCCCAGCTGACTTAGGGCAAAGGCAGGGGACACCCTGGACAGGTCACCAGTCTACAGTTACAGACTACAGACAGACAACCAAGCACATTCACATTCACACCTACAGACAACTTAGAATCACCAATTAACCTCAACATGTTTTTGGACCTTGTGGGAGGAAGCCAGAGAACCCGGAGAGAATCGACGCTGCACAGGGAGAACATGCAAACTCCACGCAGAAAGATCCCGGGTGTCCTCACCAGAACGCGAACCGGTGACCTTCTTGTTGCAAAGAAACGATGCTAACCACCAAGCCACCTTGCAGCCCTTCTATGAATATGCTCGACTAAATAAATAAAGGTTTTTAAAATAACTTCTACCTTTGCTCTACCTAAGAGTACCTGTTCCATTTCTGTTGTAAAAGTGTTTCTTGTTAATTTAGGAGACATCCCTCATTTATACAGCACTTAATCCTCACTAGGGTCGTGGGGGGCTGGAGTCTATCCCAGCTGACTCAGGATGAAGGCAGGGGACACTCACAGGGTTACACAGAGAGACAGACAACCAAGCACACTCACATTCACATTCACAACTTGCAACCCCAATTTAGGAGACATGATTCTGAAAAAAAAACCAACAACAAAAAAACCCAAACATTTAATTCGCATAATGTTTTGGCTCTCTGATGTATATTTAAATCTCTGACCAGCTTACCAAACACAAAGAAATCAACATAGTTTGAAAATTTGAGTAACTAAACTAACACTGAAATCTGGATTTGTTTCACATCTGACAAGTGATTCTGTGCAATGCTGATGCCAAAACCTAAAACTTCCAGAAGACAGCTGGACAGCTTTCCAACTACATGTTTGACAGATGGCAGGCACACGACCTTCACACTTCTGTAGCCAAACAGTGAAGCAAAGTTTGTATTTGTAGTTAGCTGATGGAAGCTGTAATATATGCATTTGTTAATAATATATAAACCTGTCAATACTAAGAACAAACATACAAAACAAAACTAGTTTGATGTGTAGCATGATAACAAAAAACACTTCTAATTTGTGTAAATGAATGTTTATGTTTAACCAAATAAATTGCTGTGGGGCCCAAGGACTGGAGGTTTAATGAGCAGCTGTTGTTGGCAGTGCTCAAGATGTCTGAGAGACAGCTAAACAGAGTGAGGAGCACACAGAAAGAGGAGAAGGCTTTCTGTAGATAACATAAGACACATATGAAGCCACCATCACATGATAATTTCCCGAAACATGAAACATCATTTGCTTCCCACAGCATTTATTCTTTGAAAATTAACACACAGAACGTCATAAACAAAATACATACAGCTCATTTGAGGATACAGTTTAATCAAAGAATCTAGAATTTCTCTAAAGTGAATGTGTGCTCAAAGGATCCTTCTTTTAAGAAGATTTCTGCAGGATGAGAAACACGATCTCACTAGGACCCTTTGCTTGATTTGAAAAAAATATGAAGTAAGATGTCTGGAGGATATGAATATTGGCCAAACTCTGAAATGTCTTGCAGTTACAAAAGAAAAAAAAAGTACTATGCATTACAAAAATCAGTGGATAAAGCCACTGTGAGCCAGATTTAAATGTTTTGGACTTCGCTGTCTCAGATCGGTAGTAGAAAAACCAAGTGTCCATGGAGACTTAAGATGTGAGTGGGTTCAAAATAACACCATCTTTGTCTGGAACTGTCTCCTTACAACAATGTTCAGGATGTAAAAACTGTAAACAGTCTGATAGCAACAACAATAGCTTAAACTTGTTGTCTTTGTGTTTTATAATCTGAACTCACTTTGTTAAATTACTTTTCAATCCGTTAAAATGACCTGCTCAAGTGTGGTTTGACTTTTCATTTATTCAAAATGTACAGAACTAAATTCACAAAAGCTAAACAAAGAACAAAACCCTTGTCGTATTAAAACAAAACTGTCTTAATGTTAATCACACATCCTAGATCTGTAGTACAGCGCTGCACCGTACCACTACCCTGAAATAATTATACCTTGATATCTTCTGTCTATATTCAGTTTGATGTCAAGTGTTATCGGGGGAAATCTTGAGTATTTTATGCACTTGACTTTCCCAAAAATACATTCTTGAACAACATACTACTGACTATATAAAACAAAACACAATTTTAGATTTCAGTCAGTTAATTTCTTTTTGCCTTGAAACTACTCAAAAGACAGCTCATGTTTGCTATAAAGCTTGGCTGAGGTGATGGAGCTTGATGAACACAATCAGAAAACAGAAGCGGTTTTTCATGCAAGCTTTCAGTCAGAGACCCTCTAAAGAAGAGGATCAAAGGCTTGCATTAAAAACTTTGTACAGACTGAGTAGAGTAGTATTTTTTTTATAGTTGTCTGCCTTTGAATCACTGAAGTAGCACAGGTAAATTGTGAGAAGCATTTTCTTTGATTACAGTTTGTTCTTTGAGCTATGGAATAAGGCAAAAAAAATCAAACACTAGTTGAAAATTTGCTTTGTGTTCAGAAGTTCTGATTTTTAAAACAGACTACAGGCTAACTTGACATTCATTTATAACAATCAATTTACCACGTTTTACAGCTAAATTGACTAATATTCATATACCCTTAGCCACAAGTAAGAATATGTACAACAGAGTAGGTGGTTCTAGAAAATGTTACGCTTTTTACAATAATAGTCTTTAATATGGCTACGGCTAGGGGAACATTAATCAAACGTGAGCTGCATGTAATATTAGCTGCAGTAAAGATGTAATAGCTGTTGTCTTCAGTGTGACAGTGGGATGGCCCTCTATGCAAGTCTGAAAAAGGCGATGCACTGAATTACCCCCAATGTTTTGATATTAGTAAAAGCAATAGCAGAAAATGTGCCTTTTTGAAGAAATAAATGACAGTTGATTGATATGATGGTTCAAACTATAATAATATTTTATCCACATAGAGGCCCTGAGAGACATTAGGAAAAAAAAGAAAGTAAATGAACATTTGGCATTTGTCAGAGGTGGAAATGATTTCTAAAGGGCTGACTGTCTTAGCCAGTTTCATGTTTGAAGTTTTTTTTTTTTTAGAATAATCTCTGATGTATGGAGGCATGAAACAGGGAGAGACAGTCACATGCTTTCAGTGTCTATAAATCTGCAGATCAGAGCATATATCTTCTGCTGTAATGCTGCAGTGGAAATGAATTGTGAGTCAGAAGGAAAAGGACACCAGACCTTGAGTTTACATCACTTGTGTAATGTTGTGTATGTTGCAGTATGAATCTGGTACACGTCTTTTGTTAGACACGGGATGGTTTAAGGGCTGAAGTATGCAAAAAAAGAGAAAAGAAACAGCACCCACCAATATCTTATTAACAAGATAGCCTAGGTACTCATGTTCATTAAAGAGAAAGAAAGCACCAACCACAATAGCTTCTTTCAGAGCAGCTATAGTTCACTGTGATCCCTGTTACGCAAAGACCATGAAAATGTAAGTGATACTATAAGTTGAAATAGACCTTTTCCCTAGTGGACATAATGTTCCAAATGTTATTATTCCTTTAAACAGTTTAAACTCAGAACTCTTTTACCGAAAAGTATTTTCCCTAAATTAATGTGTTAAAGTTGTCAAAATTTTGATTGGTAGATGTATTTTTGCTGTTTCCACAGTTCCAAAGAATCTGATCACTTCTCTATTGAACCAAACGTATCCAAAAACCACTTAAATGCCTCATTAAAACCATTTGTGTTTCGTGGTACCTCCGAAAATAGGGTCAACCATTTATTAGGGTCCGAGGACCCCTACTTGCAAAGCAAGCAGGGGTCCTTGCCCTAGCGCCCAGTAGGAATGTCGCACAGAGATCAAACTAACACCAAAATGTTCGTCTCAATGAGACTTCCATGAATGCTGCTACTCCTGGCTGGTCCCTCTTCATGCTCTCACGTTCTCATTGTTTTGATTTGATCTGGAAAAATGTGGAAATACAGTTAATTAGAAAGCTATAGAGCAGGTTATGTAAAAGAACAAAAACAAAACAGCAGAAGCAGGTTGAGGAGTTTCTATGGATGTCACGGCTCCATGTTAAATGTTGAGAAATCAAACTGATGACAACTGCAGTGTTCTGCAACAAAGTGAGCTATTAACAATTGATCTTTTAAACCTTGAAATTTGAGCATTAGATAATAATGGGATAAACTTCAGGTCAACTTTTATTAATTTTATTTCAAGCCCAGCCTCACTAGATTTTACTCGATTCAGTAGATGCATTTTGTAAATGCAAAGAGCTGCAGGAGTTTGAAAACACTGCACTGCTAGCTCAGAATAACCTAGTGGCCCATTCAGCTACTTAAGTCACTATTACACAGTAAACATAGTGAGGTAGAACTAGGAGTGTTCTTCTACAGCTACACAAAAACACAATATATAAAACAACACTGAAAAATGGCTAGTACTTACTGCATAATTTGATCTATGGAAGGATTAGAATGAGAGCATCAAACACAATAAAAAGAAAGAAAATATTGGCCGTGTGGAAGATGCTGCACTTTGCAAGTTGATACAAAGTTATATGCAGTCTTACACAGATATGCAACAAAACAAACACAGGATACATTTCTGATGTGGTGAAAAACAAAGATATTCCTAAATTTTACACATCTGTAGCATTGAGCTAGAGCTGTGAACACGTTTGTTGTTGATTGAAATGAGGGCAAAAATGAAGCAGTTTTATCAACTACATTTATCCTTGGCAACTAAATGGACCTAAACTACACCATCCGACAACAAAATCCTAAATCAAATGCTCAGAACATGATGTTTCGAGTAATGCCAGTGTAAAATCATACAAGTAGAAAAGTACATTAAATTCACTGCAGGTTATGAAACTGACTTGTCTGACCTAGGTGTCTTTTGTTAAACATTAAGTTATACAACTAATCGAAGACCATGATGCAGTAAAACTAATTTAAGCAATGTTGTTATCCAGCTAGAAAATACCTGTAAATAAATACTGAGTGCACTGTCATCATTATAACCACAGGTTCATTTAGGCACAAGATTTAGCGTAAGACACAAAGTATCAGGTGCATCTTTTCTGTCTTTCTGCTAATATAAAACATTTATTGTATTGAAATTTGCATTATTTCAACTGACTATAAAATGTGAATAAAATGTGATTGGATATATGTATTGTACATTTAATAGTAAACAAAATGCCCCCCACGATTATTTATATAAACTCTAATCATACCTTGTAACCAGTCGACTCCCTCCTGTAAACCGTCTCCTTTCAGGGCATCAGTGGCACTGAAAAATATCAACAAGTTACACTGAAATAAATACACTTTAATGGATTGCTTTGTCACATCATGACAGATTTACTCCTGAAAATGCAACATCAACTTGGACGTTCAGTTCACCGCTAAGATGCATATGTCTGTTTTTAGTTTTGTAAAATTTGTGTGTTCTTTAATGTCAGATACCACATACACTTTGCTGCTCTGTGTGGTGTGTTTCCTTAGCTATATCTGGAAAGACATCACAAACCTATCATGTGGTTACTGCAGAAAGCATGTACTTACATTCTATAAAACATGTTAAGACCAACTGACACTGTGGTAAGGTTTATATATGCATTTTTTTTACCTGCATAGAGGAATTTGTGGTGCCAATTGAATCGTTTTAGCACCAAGATAATCAGAAATGAGAATAAAGAATCTATATATTTATAACCTGTTTTGTCAGTTGGTGTTTCACAAACTTAAGCATGATACACTTTTTTTTAATGGTTAGAAAAGAAACGTGCATTGATTTCTGTCAAATGAGTTAACACAGACTTATTGTCTTAATTATACATGTACCGAAGACACTCCACACTACAAAGGCTCATTCTGAGGATGGAAAACCCTCGCAAGTACACAAAGTGACTACAAAAATAGCAGAAGAACAAAGGAGCCGTGGGTCAATACTACAATAGAAATCAGGATATTATATTCTGCCTGTATGCTCACAGCAGACAGCATTATTTCACACCAGATTTCATTTTGTCTACAATAACTACACTGCTGTTATTTCAATGGCACTGGCATATAGACATAGTAAGCAAGCAAATAAGTGTGCATGCAAGTTCATACCAGATGTGCCAGGGTTTGTCTTTGATGTTCTCCAAACAGAGCAGCTGTGAGACCTTGACAGAAGACAGAGCATCCCTGACATCCATCTTGTTAGCAAAGAACAGGATGGGGATCCTCCTGTGTTTAATATCTGCAGTACGAGAGAGAGTAAAGCTTTATAATTGAGAAATTCACCTTAAACAATATGGTGAAACAAAACAAAAGGGTTTTTTTTGTCTTATTTAATGAAACAAAATGTACACTAATGATCAAAAAGGGTAAAACCAAGCTTTATGTGCCGTGTAGTCTAGACATACCAGAGACTCAGAAACCCAAGAGACACAGCACAAGGCCAAGAAACATGAACTCACCAGGATGATTTAGTAATGTGTCCAGTTCTTCTTTGGCCACTACCATCCTCAGTTTGTCTGCACTGTCGATGACAAATATGATAGCCTGTCCTTCCCTAAGAAGAGATTAAAAACATAATATTACCATTTGAACAATAAAAATGGCAAAGACTTCTTATTTTTGTACCACTAGTGCACTCACTTGTAATAATGCTCCCAAAGGTTTCTGTATCTGCCTTGACCAGACATGTCAAACACTGTGAAGGAAAGACTAAGAGAAGAGAAAAATATAGTTGAAAAATGTAAATATATTAAACTTTTGACAAAATATATTAATTTGAAGCAAACATTATCAGTCAGAATTTTTTTTTTTAGAAGTCGGCAATACATTACAACAGTGGAAGTAAAATTTCAAAGTACAAGATGTTATTTATGATGAGCAGTACCTGGATGTCTTGAACTTCTCTATGCTGAAGCCAATCGTGGGAACGATGTCTTGTGCCTGGGCCTGAAAGAGAAATACATTGTTTTCCTGACAGCAGCTTAAAGTAGGAGCAGCCATCTGCAACATCCATCCATCCATCCATTATCTATACACTGCTTAATCCTCTCTAGGGTTGTGTGTGTGTGGGGGGGGGGGGGTTAGGGTTAGGGTTAGGGTTAATAAAAACAAAACAAGCTTATTGTTATTTTGCTGTACATACACAGTAATACAGGCAAGATGAAAGAGCGTTTCTTCGGGATCCAATAGCTTAGAGCAATTTAAATAAACAAGTGTTTGCACATGTAGATCAGCAGTTCAGCATTCTGACAGCTTGTGGAATGAAGCTGTTGATCATTCTGGAGATTCTTCCTTTCATGCACCGGAAACATTTGCCTGATGGTAGCAGTTCAAACAGTTTATGGAGAGGGTATGAGGAGTCCCTGACAATGTTCAGTGCCCTGCTCCTGCAGTGGCTCTGAAAAAGTTCTTGGACAGAGGGGAGGGAAACTCAGATGACCCTCTCAGCTCCTCTCACTATCCTCTGCAGGGCTTTTCTGTCTGACATACTGCAGCTGGAGTACCATGTTGAGATGCAGGATGTCAGAACGCTCTCCACCACACCTCTGTAAAAAGTCCTGAGGATGCCGGCAGGGAGAGAGGCTTGTTTCAGCTTCCTCAGGAAATGCAGTCTCTGCTGGGACCGTTTGATGATCGCTGCGGTGTTTTTATTCCAGCTCAGGTCCTGCGAGATCTGCACTCCAAGGAACTTGATGTTTTCCACTCTCTCCACTGTGCAGCCGCTGATGCTGAGGGGAGCATGCTCAGGACCTGACCTCCAGAAGTCGATGATCATCTCCTTCATTTTGTCCACGTTGAGCAGCAGGTTGTTTTTGGTGCACCAGCCCTCTAGATGTTTCACTTCATCTCTGTACATTGATTCTTTGTTTTCACAAACAAAATCAGCAAACTTAATGATCTGGATCCCCTCACGTGTGGCTGCACAGTCATGTGTTAGTAGTGTAAATAATAGTGGTCTGAGTACACAGCCTTGAGCCTTGAGGAGATCCAGTGCTCAACATGATGGAGTTGGAGATGTTCTTTCCGACTCAGACAGACTGGGGTCTTTCAGTCAGAAAGTCCAGAACCCAGAGACATGTGGCAGTATCCAGGCCGAGTAGGAGGAGTTTCTCTATTAGTCTCTGGGGGATGATAGTATTAAATGCTGAGCTGAAATCAATGTACAGGATTCTAGCGTAGGTGTCTTTATGTTCCAGGTGGGTGATGACTGAGTGCAAGATGGTGGATATTGCATCCTCTGTGGAGCGGTTGGGACGGCAACCGAACTGAAGGGGGTCAAGCGATGCAGGAAGGCTGGCTGTGATGTGAGGTTTGACGAGTCATTCAAAACACTTCATCACAATCGGTGTCAGTGCGATGGGGTGATAGTCATTCAGACAGGCTGCAACTGATCTCTTTGCCACTGGAACTATGGTGGATGTCTTGAAGCATCTGGTGACAATGGCCTGACTGAGGGAGATGTTGAAAATGTCAGTCAGCACACCTGCCAGCTCGTCAGCGCAGACTCTGAGCACACGTCCAAGGATGTTGTCTGGTCCTGTTGCTTTTCGTGGGTTGACCCTGGCTAGGGTCTTCCGTGTGTCTGCTGCGCTGATGGTGAAAGCTGGCCTGACAGATGAAGAAGAAGGACCAGTCCTCTCTTTGATTGTTGGGTTAGATGCTTTAAAGCGTGCAAAGAAGTTGCCGGGCCTGTCTGGAAGAGAAGTGTCATCGTTGTCGACCTCCTGCCTGGTCTTGTTAGTGCCTGGACTCCCTGCCACATCCGTCTGGTGTTTCCTGTGTCACAGAGGTGTTCCTGGATTTTCTCTGCATAGGTGCGTTTCGAAGCCTTGATCCCTTTTGAGAGCTCAGATCTGGCTGAGCGAAGAGCAGTCCTGTTTCCCACTCTGAAGGCTGCATCATGGGCCGTCACCAGCGAGCGCACCTCTGTAGTCATCCAGGGTTTTTGATTTCTACGTGCTGGGAAGGTCTTCATTTCAGTGACATCCTCTGTACACTTTGCGATGCAGCTGGTTGCTGCCTCAGCGTACTCCTCGACGTCAGTCTGATCACCCTGGGAGGCTGTTGTTTTAAATACCTCCCAGTCAGTGTCAACAAAACAGTTCTGGTGTGCTGAATTTGCACCCTGTGGCCAGATCCTGGCTTGTTTCTTCACTGGCCTGCTGTGCTTTAGTAGGGGTTTGTAAGTAGGCACCAACAAAACAGAAAGATGATCAGAGTGGCCAAGGTGGGGCGGGGGGTTGCTTTGCATCAGGGAAGTCTGAATACACCAAGTCCAGCAAGCTCTCTCCTCTGGTTTTAAAAGTCCACACATTGTTTGAACTTGTGTGTGTATGTGTATATATATGTAATATATATAAATACACACACACACACACAAAAACCTCTTCCCACAGGCTGTTCCAGTTTTTCTCAGTCGTTTTGGTACATTTCTTGAATCATCCACGACATTTACAAAACAGTAAGTGCATTTCTCAAAACAATTCGTACGAATAGCAAAACACCATGGATTACCTGCAAAAGGCAGTGACTTGCTCAAAATCCTTAGTTCATCTCTCAAAACTAAATATCTGTGTCAATGAACATGTCAGTGCCATCAGAATGACAAGTCCTTCTGTCAATGTGTACAGATAAGACAGTCAAATTGTTCAGCCATGTTGTCAATATAACAGTGTACTCTGGAGGGATGTTCTGATGTAAACTATGACTGAAGTTTTGATGACAGTTATTGTAAATTGTGAGTTACACCTTAGTGTATGTGACAGATTGATTGCAAGAGACTGGACAAGATTCATATATACGCTTTTACTGTTTGTACTGTAATTTGTTGACAGACCATGTCATTGCGATACAGAAAGGAAAAGACAGCACTGCATAGAAAGAAAAAGAAAAAAAAATAAGTACAAATGTGAACATAGGACATTCTCCTTAGGGAAACTGTACATGCAGTGCTATAGGAATTACAGTGCAGTCTTCCTCTATACTTGCCAGGTGATGGTTCATAAGATGCACCTTTGAGCTTTTTCAGAAAACTGGTTTATCATTGGTTGATCTATGTAACGCTACATACATTTCCCTTTTTTAGAGAAAGTCAAGTTCACCTGGGAGCAATTTACCAATTCAGGACAGATTTAGAAAAAAAAGTCTAATGGAAATGTATAGAAATATGCTTGACATATTATGATAACTTGTTCAACCATTTTGCATGTAAAAGAGTTAAGCGATGAACTAATGTCGAAATGTTGTGGGGGGTGAGACTATTCAATAGAGCCTCATTATAATACATTTTGGTCAACATGACATAAGCAATTGATAATGTAGGAAACAGCAGAGAATTCCACGTAATCACTTGCATGGAAAAGCAGAACTTGTTCAAAGAAATGAGAAACTGCTTTTTTGATGTGCACAAGTGACACAATGATGTGAAGATTGAACAAGTAGTTTTGAGAATTTCAATTCTGATCTGAGAAATGTACCAAAGCAACTGAGATAAACTGTAAATGCACACACCCTCTACCACCTAACCCAAGACAAGACAGAGGACACTGGCTGATGAAGTGCAATACTTTGTCCTATGTGCATACTACCGCAATTGTGTTAATGACAGTAATGGTGTTCCTTTGTTACAGTGCAATCTCTTTTTTAAGCACATTTTTTATAATGCCTTTGTGTTCTTTAATTGATGCTGCTAATTCCAAGAGCTGCCAAACTGCCTTTCATTGTTTTACAACAATGACAATAAAGATCTATCTATTCTACTTTATATAGGATTCATTTTTTGCTTGCTGTTCTGCAAATTTGGATCAGCATAATCACAGGACAGCAACAGCAGTGATACAAACAGCAAACAAATTTGAATTCATGTCATCAGTACTTGATTATGGAGGCGCATGAACATCACAGGTGCAACTGTTTCAGTGAATAACACTTCTCATATTAGTTGGATGTCAGAAACAGGTAAACTTACATTGGAAGGTTTCAGCCTGTTGATGATGGTGGTTTTTCCGCTGTTGTCCAGACCGAGACACAACACATTCACCTCCTTCTTTAACCCCAGCCATCCTGCCAACTTGTCAAACAGCCCCATTGGCTAGCCAGCAACCATCAGCTTCCTCTGTCTTCAAGAGAAAAAAAAAAAGACCACAAACTTGTGTAACATTTACAATACAATAACAAACGTTGAGGATTACACAAGGTATTTCAAGAGGGGCATTTCAAGTATCCTGGAAAGTTCACATCAACGTCTATGCTAAACTTGAACTGAACTCAAATTAGTGCTACTCAAAAAGTAGTCAAACTTATAACACACGAAACGAAAGCTTCTGATTTTTAAAGTAATTAAGTGAGAAATACCTTCTCCACAGCACAGAGGTAAACTAGATGGTGTTCATGCCACTAACACGTCTAGCTAACTGCTAATTTTTCCCGATAGCACTGAGCCACAAAAACACGAGGAAACATTGGGCCATAAAACTGAACTTATAGTTATAATACAATGGCAATGAACGTGTGGTGAATTGAGTTGTTCCTTGGGTGGGAAACACAATTCACTCCTCACAGCTAAAGGTAACGTTATATTGTTTACCATGATACCACAAAGATTCAGGAGAGTTTTGAAGCGTTCGCATTTAAATTCGCGTCCAAGTCTCCTAAAAAGGACATTTTACCGAAGTTGGTGCAACGTTAACCCTAACAGAGGACGTAGGTGCCTAGCATTAGCTAACTTACTAAACAATGACTCGCTACAGTCAACAACACACAACACTGTTTTGCCGACTTTTATTCGTTAATCGTTAGCTTAAGCTAACATGCTTAGAGGGCTCTTACCGGGTTCCAACGTAATTAACATTCGCTTACAGCTATTTAGTTAATCTCTTGTTGCTACTGTTGCTAGCTAGCGTTAGCAAACCTTTAGCCTCCAGTCAATTTATTACTTCAGCTTGCTAATGTTAAGCAAGTAGAATATAACGTTAGACGATTCTTACGCGGTATTTCATCGCCAGTTTAACGAGACTGTCTCAATTACGAAGAAACCTTAGTTTTCCTTTACGTTTCGCTACAGCGTTATGCTAACACGTCAGCTGGTGATGATATCGTTAACGTTAGCTTATCCTGGCCAAGACTGTTCAGCAGACCTGTAATTTACCCGTAATTTGTCTGCGGTATCTTGATTTCAGATGCTCTTAACGCTCCCTTGAGTTAGTTCATTTGACAATCAGCGTCAAATCGATGTTTCATTCATTTCTCCGCAGCTCTCTGATGCTCTCCAGCCCACAGACAACAAATACGAGTTATTTACACTGTGTTGCTGGGAGACCGCTGTGCTGACTCAGGTCTGCCACCTGCAGGACAAACAGAACGGCCTCCTGCTGCAAAATAATAGTCTGAGTACAAAAGCAACGTGATAGCAACGATTTAGAAACTAGGCTTTGCTTTACATGACACATACAATGACCTGGCAGCGACAGAAAAATCAGCCTTAGAATTCAAAGCAGTGCAATTCTGTAGTATGCATAAAATGTATGATATAAGATATAAGCTCACATGGGAAAACAATCACAAAAGAGAAATAAACTAACTAAAGAAATATTTTTAACTACATATTTTCTCAGTTTTTCTTCCATCCCTGCAGTTTTTTTGTTTTTTTTTAAATTGCACAAATATATTGCATGGAGATTCCTACTGAAAATTATTTGTAAAATAATGGCAAGAACAAACATGTCTTTGTAAAAAAAAAAATAAAAAAAGTATACATCTATCTATCTCTAAAACCTTCCATAAGCACCCTTTTGACAAACTCACCTGACAATTCTTCATGTCCAGAAAACGTGTCAGTCTCTTGAGTGACAGATAAGAGGCCATTGTTATTGTGTGTGTTTAAGAGCGAGAGAGGGGAGGCATCTATAGAAACTGAACAGCTGTGTACGTGTGTCTTTACAGCCTGCTTTAAAGCGAAATCTGATTTATAAGGCCCGCAGTGGTTAAAGTCTGAGAGAAAACTAAGTATTAAAATAGGGTTGTTTATTCAGGAACAAACATACTGAATAAAACATACAACTTTCACAAGACTTTTTGTACAAGACATACTGCATTATCATGAGGAGAGAACACACATTTCTATAAAATCTTTTGACATTCAGCGGTCTTCAGTTCAAAAAACATGATTGTATTTACCATTCTGTCAATCTTAATATCTGGTGACTTGTTTCCTAAACCACCTGGCAAGGTTGTTAAAATTAAAATCACATACTGTACCATCCATCGCCACATAGTATATATTATGATATATCCCATCCACATCTTCTCTGGTCATGAGGTAACAGACTTGAGACCATTCAAAGTCAATAGAGACCATTGGATTGTCACTTGGAAAGAGAAGAGGTATCGGTGAACACTTGAATAGACACTAGAGAAAAGAAGTCCTAAATTCAAGTGAATGCTAGTATTTGCTGAGATAATAAAGAGACCGCATTTGGCCAACGCTGACAAGAGGTTGGTTGTTGTGGAGGCTGTATTGATAATGATCCAAAAGATAATGAGTGTGTGTAAACTAGACCACATGTGGTCTAGTGGTTGAGCGCTCTCACGCTGAGCAGCATGTGGTACCTGCTACACCTAACAGTCTGGTGTTTGTGCAATTAAGTTGAATGACGATGCCGAGGAAGTCTGGTTGGTTTCCAGTCCGGTGCATAACACGCAGTCCGACTTTGTGTGACGGGCTCACACTTGAAAGCCGCTCTGCTGGATGTGGTGAAGCTGCAGGCGAAGCGACTGTATGCTGCTTATGATTCTCCTCTGGTGGCCGATCAAACAGACCCCAATGCGCCTGATGTCGCTGAGAAGGAGATTTATGCAGTTGTAAAATTGGACAGTTTGATAATAGCAGTAGGCGCGCTTGCACATCAAGAGAAGCATGCAATAAAATCACTTTAACCTGCAACAAGCTCATTGTAAATACTTAAAGGCATAAGAAAGGACAAAATACTGCAATACTAAAAGCAGCAGTGATACAAGTCATGTTAGACTATCAGGTTGTGTGCTATTATGTGTAACTTTGCAAATTAAAATGACACATCTTCAGATTTCTGATGACACAGTGATAAAGTCAGGGGACATAGACAGCATTAATACATTTAAAAAGGAGAAAAAATAAAGCTTGTCATACTTTACACATGTTTTCTGGACAAAAAGCTCAATAGCAGAATCAATTTTTTTCCAACGTGATTGTTTTCCTGTTCCTTTGATGCTACTTTTTTTTTTTTTTTTCCTTTTAGTGCGCTTTTAGATATTGTAGCTGCACTCTGTGTAATTTAGCTCAACTTACTCTATACTCATGGTTGAAATGGAATCCAGTGTTGTGTATCCCGCTGCAAGGAAGTTGTTCTTATACTGGCTCATTTTGATGGAGTCAAGCCAGTCGCCGATAGAGATGAACAGCGGGTAGTCCGGCATGTCCTCTGGGGAGTCTGGGAAACTGAGATGGCAAATGAAATGTTAACTGTACCAGAAAAAAAATAAAAATAAAATGTTGGCATGCTGTTGAGCTGAATAGTGAATATTATGTTGGATGGGGGCTTTGAATGACAGGCTCTACAGAAGTATTACCAATAATTTTCTGAAGCAAGTCTGCCTTTAACAAAAGTTGGTTTACTGTTTGAGACTTTGGATGAAAACCAACTTGCAGAACTGAAATGAGTTCTCAGTCAAGCAATATTACAGCTTCATTGATTTGTTTTTCTTCCAAAACAACATTATAATTATTGTCTGGTTATGTGATACCCAGCAGGACTGGGATGAACATTTCCAACCTGTTGTTTTGTGTATTAGGGAAAAACTACAGATTTATATGATCCTTTCCGGGATATCTGCATTTTCTTAATGTTCGTCCTCTGGGTTTGATATTACGATAATGTGACATAAATACATATATTGATTTGACACTAACCTCTGAACATCATTGACCAGAGTCAGCAGACTACTGGGATTAATTATGAGTTTGTCAAGGAAAGAGAGCACGTCGTTGAAGCGTGGGCGCTGGCTGGACTCTTTCTGCCAGCAATGCAACATCAGCTGGTGCAGCGTCACTGGGCAGCCCATTGGAGCTGGTAGACGGTAGCCTTCTTCAATTGATAAAATGACCTGAGACGAACAGCAGTAAACATAATGTTGAATCTCAAACCCATTTTTATTGGTTATTCTCTTTGTAAAAGGCACAATGTGTTCAAGCTGCTTACATCTTGATTGGACATCTCCCAGTAGGGCCTCTCTCCATATGACATCACTTCCCACATGACAATGCCGTAGCCCCACACATCACTAGCTGAGGAAAACTTTCCATAAGCAATAGCCTCCGGTGCCGTCCAGCGTATTGGTATTTTTCCTCCCTGCCACAAAGCAGCAGCAGCACAGAATAAGCTTGTTCAGTTGTTATTCAAACATTGCTACCACGACTGATGTTCTACCAATTGCTCAATCTACACTCACTGTTGCCGTGTACGCCGCTTCAGTGTCATCTTCAAGGACTCTGGACATGCCGAAATCGGACACCTTGCACACCAAGTTTTCATCCACCAAGATGTTGCGAGCGGCCAGATCTCGGTGAACGTAACCCATTTCTGAGAGGTAGGTCATGCCCACTGCGATGCCACGCAGCATGCCAACCAGCTGGAGCACTGTGAACTGACCGTCGCGTGTCTGTGAGTGAACAAAGAGGACACATACGAGATGATTAAGACAATATTATATTCAGGAGAAAACTTGTATATTTGTTAAACATATATTCTTCTCACCCGCAGGAAAGAATCAAGCGCTCCATTTTCCATGTACTCCACCACTATCATGACTGGTCTGCCTGAAGAAAAAGTAATAGCAATCATTTGAGTGACAAACAGAGAACAGAGATCCAAAAAGAAATAAATCTATCAGCAAAAACAAACACACTGATAGACATCAGAAGCGCTTACTCCTAGTGACCACTCCCTCCAGCCTGATGATGTTGGGGTTGTTGAACTGTCCCATGATTGAAGCTTCACGCAGGAAGTCTCGTCTTTGTTGTTCCATATAGCCTCCTTTAAGCGTCTTAATTGCCACAGCAATGTCCATCCTTCCAGGAATACGCAAGCGTCCACTACAGACTTCTCCAAATTCACCTGCAACAACAAACATGTTTGTAATGAAATAGTTAAAATGAAATCATAAATAATAAAGTTTCATCTTATCTCATCTCATCTTACCTTATTCTTAGATTATCTAATTTTTCAGATTTTTCTCAGTAAATGTTTTTTTTTGTTTTTTTTTAAACAAATTTAATTAAGTACAAATTTTCATCAGATTATCAGGTGAAAAAAAAGATTAGAAGTGAAAAACAAAATAAATTAAATTGCAAGTCACACTTTCAGTTACTCATTGAAAATTCAGCACTGAAACAAACAGAACCAAAAGAGAAATGTGGATTACATTACAGTAATTACTCTGTAGTTTGTGCTGCTGACTAAATTTGTAAAATGTTTCTTGAAAAAATAATTCCTTTAGGATTATTTTATTTTTTATTTATATTTTACATTTTTAAAAATGCGTTTTCAATTTATCTTATAAATTAAATTAAGCACAAAATTCCAAAGAAAATATCTGGTCAAATTAAGAAAAAAAAACAAACATATAATATGTATAAGTAAAAAAAAAACTAAGTCACACTTTCAGTTATTAAATTCAAATTCAGACTGTTAAAACAAACACAATCAGATAAAATCAAATCATATTTGAAATGTGAATTACATTACAGTGTACTGTTCTGGTCCTGCCATTTTAAAGACAAGTAACTGCACTCTGCCTCCACCAGATGACGCTGGTGTGACAGAAACCCAACAAATGGGCTGCGCCTTCAGAAGTACTCAGGGGTTGTAAAGCAGACGCAATCTGTTCAGTTTAATGAACCATCGTACACTATTATTCACAGTCAGCAGCACTGTGTTTGCTTCTATAAGGTACAATACAATAAATTACTTTAAAATCAGCTGATAAGAGTGGCTATAAAATTTTAAAGTAGGAACTTTATGGAGTTCAGGATTTCTTTTTAATATTTCACTCAACATTAAACAAGATAATTCCTCTATCAGGTGTTTCACAACCATCACTGGGACCTCTTTGCAAATTCCTGTGTAATATCAGTTCAGAAAATCATGGTGGCATTAAGGTAATGTCATGCCCTAAATAACCTAATTACAAATCATGCATCACAGAAATGATTGATTATTAATAATTTTACCAGCACCAATCACCCTCTCGATGCATATG